AGGGTGCCAGTTATCTCCGTTCTTATTTATATTTTTCATCAACGATGTTGTTGATGAGCTTGCTAATAATTATTCAAGAGGTATTAGTATTGGCACAATAGAATTATTCATGCTTATATTTGCAGATGACATCATATTATTATTTTGATATTACTGTACCGAGGCTACAAAGCCGACTAAGAGCTCTGGAGGCCTTTTGTGCAAAGTGGCAATTAAACATAAATACGAACAAAAGTTAGATAATGGTGTTCAGGAAAGGTGGTAAACTGAAACAATCGGAAAAGTTCTATCTTAATGGAAGTCAGTTGGAAACTTCATCCACTTATAAATATCTTGGGGTACACCTGTCTAGTTCGTGCTCGTGGTATGTAGCACAAAAGACATTATCACAACAGGCCTCCAAATTATTATTATTATTGAACGCAAATATTAGAAATTTTAACAATTTATCTATTGATGTTCAACTACATATATTTGATAGTAAAATACTACCAATTTTGACATATGGGTGTGATGTATGGGCATTTCATCCGTCACATGATGTTATACGTATTCATGATAGATTTTGTAGGACTGTCTTACACTTAGGTAGAAATTCACCAAATATTGTAGCTAGAGTTGAATTAGGTCGATAATCACTAAGGGTACACCTAAACTATAAACTAATTAGGTACTGGACTAGACTATTAAGCCAGACTGACAATAAGTTGTTAAATCACGTCTATAAATATCAATATGATTTAGCTGAAAAAGATATCTATTGTTGGTCATATCGTGTAAAACACCTGCTTTATGAGCATGGGTTTGGCTTTGTTTGGGAGACACAAAGTGTGGGGAATGGAAATTACTTTCTTAGGCAATATAAACAAAGATGTATCGATATAGATAGACAGAATTGGAATACTTCTATAGCATCCATATCTAAACTGGATTTATACTGTAATATCAAACAGTCGAATGCAATGGAACATTATCTAAATTGTGTACATATTAAGCCATATCGCATTGCTTTAAGTAAGTTTAGATGTTCAAATCATGATCTTATGATCGAAAAAGGGAGACAACTCCACTTAGAGAGACATGAAAGATTATGCCCTTTCTGTATCCGTCCAAGTATAGAAACAGAATACCATTTCTGTATGGATTGTCCTTATCATTACGATCTTAGAGTAAAATTAATTCCATCGTTCTTTATTAAATACCCAACATTTGGAAAATTGTATACTTTGTTACAAACTACCAATGATACTATTATAAATAACTTAACCAAGTGTTTTAAGCATGAAAAAAAGAAGTAACTTATTTTCTACTGTGAGACTATGAATCCTGTCAGAGTTGTAAATCATTTTTGCTCGCCTATATATGTTTATTGTCGTATATTACATGTTGATCCAGTTGCCATGTATTAATATAATATATAATAATAATAAAATGGGCCTGTGGCCCAAGTACCGAAATAAAGAGATTATTATTATCTTGTGCTTCTTTATCTATACCTATTTCAATATGTCTTATAACCAGTATACCTTATACGTATTATGATGATTTTCCCTGGGATTACATTTCTAGGATTTCAAACGACACCGTGATATAACATATATAATGATGTTTATTTTAAACTATGATTCAAATTGTTACTCATCATTTTCGATTTTAATTTCTTGTTTTTGTTTCGTTTAAATGAAAAATCAAATTTGTCTTATGTGAGCAACCGTATAATAAAATAATGATACAGTTGGGTGCTTTTCCCTGGGAATATCTTTCATAATTCAACATACTAACTTGAAAATTCAACATACTAGCTTGAAAATTCAACATACTAACTTGAACATACTAGCTTGAAAATTCAATACACTAACTTGAAAATTCAACATACTAACTTGAAAATTCAACATACTAACTTGAAAATTCAACATACTAACTTGAAAATTCAACATACTAGCTTGAAAATTCAACATACTAACTTAAAAATTCAACATACTAACTTGAAAATTCAACATACTAGCTTGAAAATTTAATATACTAACTTGAAAATTCAACATACTAGCTTGAAAATTCAATATACTAGCTTGAAAATTACATACTAAATTGAAAATTCAACATACTAACTTGAAAATTCAACATACTAACTTGAAAATTCAACATACTAACTTGAAAATTCAACATACTAGCTTGAAAATTTAATATACTAACTTGAAAATTCAACATACTAACTTGAAAATTCAATATACTAGCTTGAAAATTACATACTAACTTGAAAATTCAACATACTAGCTTGAAAATTCAATATACTAGCCTTAAAATTCAATATACTAGCTTGAAAATTCAACATACTAACTTGAAAATTCAACATACTAACTTGAAAATTCAACATACTAACTTGAAAATTCAACATACTAACTAGAAAATTCAACATACTAGCTTGAAAATTCAACATACTAGCTTGAAAATTCAACATACTAACTTGAAAATTCAATATACTAACTTGAAAATTCAACATACTAACTTGAAAATTCAACATACTAACTTGAACATACTAGCTTAAAAATTCAATACACTAACTTGAAAATTCAACATACTAACTTGAAAATTCAACATACTAACTTGAAAATTCAATATACTAACTTGAAAATTCAACATACTAACTTGAAAATTCAACATACTAACTTGAAGATTCAACATACTAACTTGAAAATTCAAGATACGAACTTGAAAATTCAACATACTAACTTGAAGATTCAACATACTAACTTGAAAATTCAAGATACGAACTTGAAAATTCAACATACTAACTGAAAA